CTAGGCCATCACCTCCCCTATATGTTTTTATAAAAGAAAGATCCAATATACTTTGACATGAAGTAGTTGGGACAGAAACGTGCCCCTTTCACATTCACAGAATGCTCCAAAGTATTTCATGGCCAATGAATTACTTTTGAAATGCAGTCACTGCTGAGTAAGTGGCCATATTTTGTAGCGTCAGTAGGTAAATGCAGCATTAAAATGTGCATACTGCAAAGTTCCATTAACTGCAATGAGATCAATGAGCAAATAACTTCATCCAGCAAGATTACAATGATTTTTGGCCCTTCTCTGCCCATTTCTTCTTTGAAGAGGTGTTGTGCTGAGTTTAATATCTACAAGGCAGGCAGGACCTGGGCTTAACAGCACCTTTGTTATAACAGCACTCGGTCAGTTCAGTAGCGAAGTGTCAACCTGCATCGCATCGCATCCACAAGCCGCCATCTTTTCGATTCAGGGGTAAATGTCTGATCCTCTGATTAATTCCTCCTTTTGATTACACTGTGTCGCATCCATTAGTCTCCATTTACCCCTCATGCTCAAACAAACATTTGTAGGTTTGATATGATTGTGGTAGAGGTGACGACTCTAAAAAGATCCCAGTTATACTCTTCAGTCCTTGCTCTAAGTATTTATTCTCTTTCAAAAGGTGTGGCACCTCCTGCTGTCAGATCGGTGTAGTAGCCTGTCTAGTGTCTCCGTTCAGTACCCATTCCTCACAGATAAATCAGGACAAGGACCGCTACCAGACCATGTATCCAGACAGTGGGAACACAGACAATCAGAGAGAGAGTGTTCCTTGCTCCTGGTCATGCTTGGTAATTGGAACACTGGCTGATGTTTCACTCACCTTAGGCCAAAGGCATATGGCTGCATTGTAACCTCCCAGCAGCAAATGCTGACAAAGCCCAGGCAGGGAATGACCCTGCACCTTTTGGGGCCAATAAGTGACTGATTCAGGGTTCAGGGCCCCCGGAGAGATATTCCGATTGTCAAAGCAAACTCAATCTTTGTCAGACAAGCAGGGATATAAGACAAAGTATCCCAACTGTCATTTTTACCCCATGCAGAAATAAAGCAGCAATTTAGAGAAATTTACTGAGCTGACTCTAACCAAATGGTAATAAAAAACAAAGCACTGTAGTTGCTGGATATCTGAAATAGAAACAGAAAGTGCTGGAGAAACACAGCAGGTCAGGCAGCATCTGTGGAGAGAGAAACAGAGTTAATGTTTCAAGTGTGATGTGACTCTTCTTCAGACTGAGGGGGCGGGCTGAGAAAAGGTGTTTTTTTTGACATTGTTGACAAGAGGGGCATGTGGAACAGATGGCGAAGGGGACCAGAGTAAAAGACAAAGGGAATGCTAATGGCAGTAGAGGAGAGATTGCAATGAAGAATGTGCTAATAGCAGAAAATAGATTATGTGGACATATGAAATCGGGAGGAGGCCATTCAGCCCCTTGAATCTGCTCCGCCATTCTGTAAGATCTTACTGTAACTTCAAATCTG